GAACAAACGCGATAGGTTTTAAAAAATATGTTTTTTATTTTGTAAAATGAAATCAAAACACGTCTTCTTGTAATTTATATAAACGTAGTATTAGGTTTCTTTAAATAATGAAAAAAAAAAAAAAAAAAAAAAAAAAAAGATTTGCAAAATCAGGTTTGACCTAATTTTTTTTACACTTCTTAGAAAACTCACATAATGAATGTAATAAAACAAAAAAAAAAAAAACATAATGTTGTTTTGATGGAAGCAAAAAAAAAAAAAATACTTTGCTTGCTAGCAAAAAAAACAGAACAGAAACAATTGTCATCATTCTCCAAGGTTTTATTCCAGCAAAACAAAATGATTTGGTCATTCAACCCGAACGTACTTATTTCGTCCTCTTAAAAGAATTAACGTTATGTCATCATCATCATCGTGGTGTGTTTTTAATTAATTACAACAACAACAACAACCGTGTTGGGTTTTAAATTTCGCCATCATTTTTATATTACATGAAATTCTTACACGGTGAGAGTTTTTTTTTTTTTAAAACGTTGAAAAGGTTTATAAAAGTTTGTTGTTGTTGTTGTTGTTAAAAACATAATTGTTTTGTGTTTTTTTTTTTTTTTTTTTTTTTTATGTTGGAACCTTGAAAGAAAGGTAAAACTCATTCAGATATACATGTTGTTCATAATGCAAGGCCGAAAATAAAAGAAAAATTTTAGTATTATTATTATTATTATTATTTATTGAATTCGAAGGTATTCGAGACAAACAAAAAGAAAAAGAAGAAAAAATTCAACCACGTTTTGTTTTGTTTGTATAGTTATTGTTTCTCTCTCTCACACACACTTTGTCACTTTTTCTGTCTCTCTTTTTTCATGTGACAAAACATCAATTAGTTTTCGTGTATCAACCTGTTGCTCGTTTAATTTTTTTTTTTGATTTTATCGACATTGTCATTTTTTCTTTTTTTGATTTTTGATTAAGATTCGTACGTACGACGAAAATACGAAACAAACGAACAAACAACCAAACAAACAAACGCACGAAAGGAAAATTTACGTTTTTCGTTTTTTAAATATCATCATTCCAATTTTTTTTTTTAATAAGTTTTTTCTGTTAATTTTTTTATTTCGAGTTAGTCGACAAACGAATGAATAGGAAAAAGTTTTTTTTTTGCGTTTGTACAAAAACAAACAAACAAACAATAAAAATCGAGACGCATTATAAGCAGAACAACTTAAATATTGCTGACTTTGCGATTATTTTCATGTAGGCGCAAGTTTTAGGTTTTTTTTTTTTTCTTTATATATAAATTTGCCGCACCTTTAAATCCCGTTTGTTCGATAACGAAAAAAAAAAAAAAATGTAATTAAATAATAATAATGATGATGACGACGATGTTGACGATAATTTAAAAGTAAAAAAAAAGCAGAAGAAAATTTAAAACGTTACGAGAAAGATGTTTTTAATGTCGTTTTGTTGTTACAAGGGCGATTGCATAATAAAAAAAAAAAAATTTTATTTTGCAATTAAATGTTTAAATAATTATTTAAACTTTTAAACTAAAAAAAAATCCAAAAAGTTTTTTTGGCTCCTAATTATTATATGACGTAATCATCATCATCATCATCATCATTATTATTATCGATATCGGTATTTAAATAATAGAAATCGTTTTTTTAATAAAAATGTGCGCGTGATAAAAACTTTGAAAAAGGTGAAAAAAAAAAAAAAAACCAACCAGTCAAAGTCTTGCTGTGAAAATAATAATAATATTAATAATTAAACAAACAGATAAAAATTTCCAAATATATGTTTGTTTGTTTGTTTGTTTGTTTGCACGAAGAGAGAGAGAGAGAGAGAGAGAGAGAGAGAGAAAATTAATAACTTTGTAACACATCTTCATCGAGGATTTTATTTTTTTCCATGTGTGGTGTGTAGGCGCGTGTTATTTAATTGCGTAACGTTTCGATCGTAAATAAATATTTATTTATTTATTTATTAAAATACCGTATCGTGGGTATTGCAAAAAAAAAAAAAAAGAAAATGGCGGAAATGAATTGTTTAATAATAATAATTTTTTTTTTCAAACGACGAAACGGAAGAAACGATTCGTCACATAATAAATATTTTTTTTTTTTTTTTTTATTCGCACTTTAATTTGTCGTTTTCGTGTCGCGTCGCGTTGTATTTGTTGTTGTTGTTGTTGTTGTTGCCCGTTTCCAACAACTTCCGATAAGATAAAAAACGTTTTTTTTTTTTTTTAGGTTTATTAATAAATTGATGAATCGTATAGGTGCGTGTGCGTGTGCGTGTGCGTGTGTGTAAATGTGTGATAAACGCAAATCGTAGGGATGTACAAAATCCGATAATACAAACAAAAAATTTTTTTCTTTTTACTTAAACGCGGAATGATATATATATGTACGTTTAAAAAAAAACAAATGGCGTCTGCTTCATCTTAAAAAGATGAATTTTTTTAAAAAAGGAAAACGACCATTAATTATTTTCTCTATCTCTTTCTCTCTCTTTCTTTCGTTATTAATAGAAAGAGGTTAAGTGTTTAAATAAATTTTTTAATTTTTTTTTTTTTTTTTTTGGGGGGGGGTCCGAATCGTAAATTTAATTTTTTTTTTGTACTCCATTCACTTCTCTCTCTCTCTCTCTTTCTCTCTCTTTTTAAAAAGCTTTCTTGTCAATGATGTGGTACACGAGGGATTCAAGTTAAACGTTTGTTAATTTTTTTTTTTTTTTTTTTTAATTGCAAAAGATGGACAGCCTTGATCTAAATTTTTCCTATTCATATAAATTATCACTTTTTTTTTTTTGTTCCATGCACATGATATATTTTTTTTTTTTTTTTGATTAGTTAATGTCGGTATTTCCTCCGGGTATTTACACCTTTTTTTTATAATTAAATACCCCGTTCGAATATTATTATTATTATTATTATTATTATTATTATTATTATTATTATTATTATTATTATTATTATTGCTCTCTTTTGATTTTTACATGCGATGTAATCGATCGATCGATTACAAAACGACAAAAAATTATATAAATATATAATACTACTCGTTGATTATTATCATTATTATTAATATAATATTACAACCGTTTAAATTAATTTGTTGTTTGTTGTTTGTTGTTGTTGTAGTAAAAAAAAAAAAAAATTCGAATTAAATAACAAGTTTTTTTCTTTGGTGTAATAATTCGATCAACGGTGTTGACGTGTTTTTTTTATTATTATTATTTTTATTATTATTATTATTATTTCGTAAAATTATTATTATTATTATTATTTTCGTTTTGCGGTTTATTGGTTTATTTTTTCTATTTTTTTTTTTACAGTAAGTAAATCGATGGTTGACTAATTTTCACATTTGGAAAATTAATATTAATTGATAGTATTCACGAATTTTTTCGAACGTTATTGTTTTCTATGGTTTTATTATGTTTCTCATAGAGCGAAACGTTCTTTTTTGCACCACGTAGATAATTAACTTAAGGCATGCCGAAATAAAAAAAAAAAAAATTTCCCAATGCGTCCCAGTACATGTTTGTTGTTTGTTGTTTGTTGTTGTTGTTGTTGAATATTATTGTGTGATTTTAATTCGTGCTCGAGTTGTCTTCTACTCGTGATAAATTGGAACGAACGGGAAAAGAACGGATTTTTTTTTTTTTTTTTGAAACACGCACACGCGTAATTGCGATTATCTCTAATATTAATATTGGTAATAATAATAATAATAATAATTTGAAAACTGATAAAATAAACGAAAACTTCTCTCTTTCTTAGTTTGAAAACTCGTCCGTATTCATTCCTCTCATATAATTTTAATAATTTATTTTTTATAATAAATTTAATTTAATTGTTTTGTTTTCTCTTATAAAATTATAAAATTAATATAATAAAATATGTTTTTCGCATTAATTGAAATATTATTATTATCATCATTAATATAAATGATGAAAATTGAAATTATCACTTTAATTTATAAATTCGAAATATATATATAGATATATAATATAGAAATTTACTCGGCTTACTTATAATAAAATGATTTATATCGGCTTATTATTATTATTATTATTATTATTATTATTAGTTTTTATTATTATGATAGAAAATTTAAAATTTAATTTAATTTTGTTGGTTGATTTGTTTATCAAAATATTTCACAGAGTTCAAAACAAACAGAAAAAAATGTATGCAACAACCAAAATCGATCCAATTTTGTTTTTTGTTTTTGAATTCTTAAAAATCGCAAAGGTTGTTGAATTTTTTTAAAAAAAGTTGTTGGAGTATTTATTATTATTATTATTATTATTATAATTTTGTTATTATTATTTTTTTTTTACTTAAAATGGATTGGTTTACGTTTACTTTTTAAAAGAATATTCATTATTTTTTTTTTGTTTGTTTTGTTATTGATAAGTCATTAAATTACCGTCGAGTTAATAAAAACTAATGAGGTTTGTTGTGGTTTATTATTATTATTATTTGATGAGAAAGATTTTGAATTTGTAATTATTTCTTTGGGGATTTCCTATGTTTTTATTACTTTCCGGTGTGTAAAGATGAAAAAGGGAAAAAAAGGGAAAAAAAAGGAAAAAAAAAAAAAAGATGTTTATGAAACGGTTGTTGGAAAGTTTGTTATGAAAGATTTCTGCCTCCTTGTCTGTGTTGTTTTCCTTTTATTATTATTATTATTATTATTATTTTCACGGTTGTATATTAATATAAAATAAATTTATGCGCATATTTTAATTTATATATATATTTTGATGTAATTTTTAAAATTAAATTTTGAAAAAAAAAGATTGGCTGTTGTTAATTTTTTGCTGTTTTTTTTGTTTTCATTACAGATTTCGAAAAGTTCGATACGATTCGATTCGATTTGTTTTGATTGGGAAAAAAGTTGCTTCTACAGGATTCTGTAGAAGTTAATATCACATTCGTCAATACGGCTTCCGTAAATTATTCTGCTTCGGATAAACAAAAAAATCGCATGATTCAAAATAAGGGGAGATATTCACCGATATTTAGATCATATGAAGAAGAATTAGAGCACAGGTTGGAACATAATCCTAGTCCTACGGAATCGGAGCTTTTGCAAGATTTGGAACATGATTTTGACGATGATGATGAATTGATCGACAAGTACAATAAAGAAAGGATTTGCTTTTTAGAAAGGAGTGCTAGTTTTAATTCGGATAGAAACGGACAACAGGGAGCTTTCGTAAGGTATCCGAACAAACCTAAACGGAGTAGTAGTTTTTGTGCGGGTACTAATAGGAGCATCGGTGAAAAAAATTTATCTCGTTTTAAAAAGGGTGATTTTAATAATTTCGTTAATGAAAAAAAATTGAACGGCGAAGAATGTGTTAAAAAATCTAAAAAGTTGATGAGATGCAGGAGTTTCGAGGGTCAAATCGATACGACGAGTGAAAGTGAGGATTATTTGGATGTAAAAGCGAGGAAAAAATTTAGCGATTTCAAAAAGAGAGAAAAGCGTAAAGTTAAAAGTAAAGACAAAAAAGTACCGGAAAAGGTGAAATTAAATTCCGGAGAAAAGGCAAAGGAAACTCCGTCTCCCCGTAAAACGTTTAATTCGGTACAGACGAAGGAAAGCAAAGACAGCGAACCGATCAAAAATTTCGAGAAAAAATTAAAGGTTCAAACGATTCCGAAACCGAGTACGAGAACAAAACTTTCATCACCGACGACACGTAAAATAATTCCTGTAAAATCTGAAGAACCTCTTCCAAGCGTTCAAACGACGTCGTTGTACGTCGTGCCGAATATAAGTGAACACAACAGAAAAGAAACGGAAACGAAACTCGATCGTTTTAAAACTACCATCACGCTTCCGGTTTTGGAAAGCGAAGAAGAAAAAACTGAAAGTTTATCGGAAGGAAAACAACTTGTTGAAAATAATAATAATAATAATAATAAAGAAAGTGATGTTAAACAAACGATCAACGACAAAGAAGTGTTGAACGATAATAAAGTGGAGACTTCGAATGAAAGCGTTAAAAAAGAATTGAAAGAAAAAGAAGAAGAAGAAAAGGAAGAAGAAAATAAATTAAACGGTGAAAAAGTTTACGAGAATAAAGTGAACGTTTTTCATAGGAAAAATAACAACACGCAAAACGCGAAAAAGGGTGCACTTCAAAAACTATACGAAGAAGGTTTGAAGAAAATTCAAGAAAGGCACAGTTCGGAGTCTGGAACGGAGGATAAAGTTTGTAACGATTTAGAACCAGACAATCCTTTCAAGAACGATCAAGACGTGCTAGCATTAACAAATTACGTCGTAAAAAGACCGCAAACGTTAAAAATTAAAGTTGGATTCGAATCTCCAGCCATCGGACAAGATTTAGACACTCCTCCTAATTTGGCTAATACTTCTGAGAAAACGCTACCCTACTATCTCAAAAGTCAAGAATCGAAAGTTTTGCGTCCGAGCAAGGGGTTGGAAAGGGAAAATCCATTTTTGTCAGAGTTTCAAAAAACATGTTCGATCGGTCGGTGTGAAAATAACATCGAATACGAAAAATACGTGGAATTTGGGAAAAATTTAGTTAAGCCGTCGACGATAGATAAAAACACGGAGAAAATATTGCAAGAAGCGGAAGTCGAAAGGAGAATAATCGAGGGACAGTTGGAAAAACTCGATAGCAATCAAGAAGATTTGGAAAAACCTCCGACGAAAAAATCTTTAAAAAAATTAGATTTATCGAGAAAAGTTAAAATTCCCAAACCTGATTATTCGAACGAGATTAGAGAAGAAGTTGAGCCCATAACTCCAGATACGGATCAAAGCGAAATAGAAGAGATTTTGGAAACTTTTTCAAAGGAATTGAAGAACGCTGATGTCAATGAAATACTAAGTGGAGACGAGTCTCGTCAAAAACGTTCGACGCCTTCTCTGAGGGAAACAGCTTTCTTATCTAGTCCTCCGGTGAAATGTGATCAAATGTCACAAAATAAAAAAGAATTTTTGTCATTGAAACCATCCTCTTTGCCCGCTCCGGTGGCCAAAACTCGCGATCAAGTAATTAGAACGTCTATGTTACGTAAAGAAGCTCGTCCGAATTCGCTTCCGTTGAGAAGTAGCAACGGTTTACCCAATACTTCGTTGACTTTGGAGAATTACGTGGAAAGAAGAAAAATGAATTATCCACCTTCTGGAAGAGTTTCCGCACCTCTGTTTAAAGAATATCAAAGTCCGAGTTACATGAGCGGAAGGAGTTCTGTACCCGTTGATCACGAAAGAAATTTAATTTTCGAAGGTAGAGGTAGATCACTTTCGAGAAATCGAACGAGATCCGATATTGAAAATATTTACAATGGTAATTTTCAAAGGAATCAAATAAGAACTCGAAGTTTGACGAGGGAAGCTTACAAGGGAGCTTGTTATCCAGAACCGAAAAACGTAGTCGTTCAAAGGCAAATAAATGAGTCTAACATTCCGAAACCTGTCAATCGTCGAATTCTTCCCCCTGGATCGATACAAATGCAGCAGCGAAATTGTCAGTCTCCTTCTTTGAAAAATCAAGACGTCATCGATTCGAGCAAATATTCTGCGAGCGAAATCGAAGCCGTGTTTTGGGAACGATTACGACAGAAAAAAATCAAAGAATCTCTGAGGGAACAAGAGCTCTTGCAGAAAACGGACAACAACAATACCGGGAATTTCGTTCGTAACTCATCGGAACGAAATACAATCGGTCCTATATATCAAAGAGATCAAAATGTGAAAGACCGAAGAGAACAAAATGGAGGAATGATTATTCAAAATCAATTGAAGGGTAGTCAAGATTCCGTTAAGAAATCATCGGAAAACTTTACCGATTCACAAAATGATTTAGGAGGAGGAGGAGGGAAAAGAAAAAAAGACGGAGAAAAAGGATTCAGCATATCTAAAATTCCATTTTTTAGAAGGAGAAGCAAATCGGGATTGAAAGAAGATTCGTACAAGAGAGCAAGCGAAGATTATGAGGACTATCAGGGTAACCACGTGTCCAATTCTTCTTTGAGTGATCAAGATGCTTTTAATTCGATTAAAAAATCCAGTTACGATCAAACGGATAACGCCAATTGGAACACGCAAAAAGATGGACAAGGCAGAATGGTGAGACCCCTAGAAAAGCAACAAAGTTTTGATTTTTCCGACGTGTCGTCATCGAACAGTCCTAGACATGCGACGGCCACGAGACCTTTGCCACCCCTTCCGAAAGATTTCGATGGTGGTTACGGTATCATACTTCGAAATAAAGAAAATTCGAACGTTTTGCTTAACGGAAAACCACCATCGGACTACGGTCGAGTCGTTGGTGTTGTCGACGTTCACAGAGCGTCTCCGTACCTCGATTATCAAAACAAACCCATGTCGCCGTCGAGAAACATGGGAATAATTCACGAAAACGAACTTTACGGCAATGCGAAACCACCCAGAGGATCCGACACGAATTTTTTTACTACTACGAAATACGTTTTGAAGTCTCAAACACTTTCCGACACGGAAAGTGGTAGCGAGGCTGGAGAAATTCAAAAAATCCTTCACGGAGTCGACATAAGACCATATTCCGGTGGTAAGTACCATCATTTTCTTTTTTTTTTTTTTTAAAATCAATCGATGCAACATGGCGGTAATTAACAAAGCTATCGTTACAAAAAAGAAATTTTCTAAATAATGCAGACAGTTTGGAACCATTGTCGGTAATTCATTATAAAAAGCAGAAGAAAAAAGAAAATTTTTTTTTTCGAGTCCGCGACATTCGTTCGTATATATTCGCGCTCAATGGAAAATCATCTTCCAGAAATGGAAAAGAAAGAAAGAAAGAAAGAAAGATAGAAAGCGAGATAGAGAGAGAGAAAGAGATAGAAATAGAGGGCATGTCTCTATTGATTTTATGCTCGAAAATGTTGCTTGTTGGGTATCGTTCACCCTACGCTTAGCTTAAGCCCACGCGAGTTTAATTTACAAAAAAAAAAAAAAAAACGAAAAAAAAAAAAAAGGAAAAAAAATTCACTTTCCCGGAGTTTGTGCTTTGATTCATTTCAGCAGACTCCATCTCTGGAACGAAATTTTGTCCCGACGGCTATGACGTCATCACTAAGTATTCGGCATTTTTTTATTATTATTAAAAAATTAATAGTCGAAAAAAATAAAATATTCTAGAATGTTGTTAGCGTTATGGTTATATAAGTTTTTTTTTTTTTTTTTACACGGGGGTGCATATCACTGTAAAAACGGGTAGTGGTGGTGGCGGTAGTGGAGGTGGTGGCAATGGTTTGTTTTAAATGATTTCGCGTAAATACGAGTCGGTGCTGCGAACGGCGTAAAATGCGATGCGTACCGTGTGTTTTTTTTTTTATTTTTACGAACGTTTACAGACAACGCCGCGAAAATTTCATAACGTGCATCATGAATGATTCTTCTGCAGTGTTTTGATTTATTTTCCGGGTTGTTTTCTTTTTTTTTTTGTCATAATGATCCTTCGGTCGGTCGAGTTTGTGTCGAAATGAATTTCTGATTTTTTTTTTTTTCGTATTTGAAAATGTTTTCGTGAACGGAAACGACTAAAAACAAAAAAAAAAAAAAAAACAAAAATGTTTTCATTAAGGGATATTATTAAACGTCATTCGTCGTCGAATCCTTTAAATAAAAATCGTATATAATAATTAAATGTGGGTAGACAGACATGTTGGGCATACGATGGAAAAACAAGGATAAGAATCAGACGACGACGACGTCGTCGTCGTCCAATTCTTCCGCCCCGAAATTATCAAGCGGAAAGAAAAAAAGGAAATTTGGTAGAGAAGGTGAATCAAATTTTTCCTTTTCCATTATTTATTTATTTATTTATTTATCAATCTATCTATTAAAATTTTCCATACGTTTGATAATTGTACGTGAAGAAACGCGGTTAAAATTTAAGGCGTGAGCTTGTTTTTTTTTTTTTTTTTTTTCCCCTTCATTGTTTAGAACAATAGAGAGAGACAGAGCGAGAGAGAGAGAGAAAGAAAATTTTCACATGCCACCAATTTTATTTATTTATTTACAAATATTATCATCATATTAAAATTATCTGGAATTGATTATGGAAAAACAAAAAATAATAATAATAATGATAATAGTCAAGTTCGCATGGAAATAGTAAATAAAAAGGGAAATTTTTTAAATGGAGTTTTCCTAAGTGTTAAATATTTTTCCCGGCAGATGCCTCTGATTTGTCTTTAAATCGTATATATATATATATACATATAGCGAACGCCTTTTTCTATGGGTCAAATTAGAAAAATTTTGTAGGATTTCCGCGGTGAGGAAGTATCATCATTATCTTACCGCTAACTTAAATTACTCACGTGATTAATGTTTCAATAATAATGATAATAATAATAATACTGATGATGATGATGAAGATTTTCACATGCGACGAAAACAGTTTGTTTTTTTTTTTTTGGCTCGTAATTATAAAAAAAAAATTTTTTTAAATGTGATTTAACCGTTTGAAAATTTTTTTTTTGACCATACCGGTTCTTTTGTTTGTTTGTTTGTTGTTTGTTTGTTTTTTATGAAAGGCATCGCATAACGTATGACGCGTGATTTGACGCTCCTGCCGTTTTTTTTTTTTTTTTTTCCGATTCGGTTTGGAGGAAATTTTGATAACAAGCAAATTTTCCCCGATTCGGTTTTTTTTTTTTTTTTTTCGAAACAATCGAAAGTCGATTGTTTTAAATTGAACGTCACGTTCACGTTCACGTTATTGAAATTTTTTTATTTTTTGTCAAGAACGCTAAACTGAAAAATGTCAGTGCAAA